TGGGCACACGGGAGCCCTCCCGGCAGCAGTTGCCGCAGCCCTCCGGCCCCAGCCCCTCGGGGAGAGGCGCAGGCTGGAAGGGCACCTTCTATTGCAATTACGTTCCTCGCTCAGAAGCATCTGTCACTTCTCCCACTTTGCAGGGCAAGTTGGCAGCTCGTGTCCATAAACTGTCCGATTTGGATTCAGCCGTGCAGCAGAACACAGGCTGAGGGGCACAGCCAGGCGCTGCCTGCGGAGAGTTTTATGAAGAACTGTGAGAAGTGCCCTCAGGAGTGTTTTTGCTTTTTAAAACAGAGCCCACGTGTTTAACACAAGGTGCCCACACGTGCCCAGCACAGAGCAGCACGCTCGCTGCCGGAGAGCTCGCAGGCAGCCTGGCCGTGGGGACCCCAGGGAGCAGGAGGGGTGTCACCTCCCGCTGCACCTTCCCAGGGGCAAAGCAGGGCTCTTCCAAGAGGAAGGGGCGAGCTCAGCCGACTCGCTCCCCTCATGGACCCGGGGAGGGACTTCAGAGCACAGCAAGTGTGCTGCGGTGAGGGGGACTGGGCAGGGGGGCTGCTGCCCCCCCCCGCCCCCTGGCGGCCCCACGGCACCGGCAGCAGTCGCTGTGCCAGGAGGCCCATCACTAACTCAGCCCATGGGACCCCTTGTGAGCCCCCCGCTCCCCCGCAGTGCACATCCCCCAGAGAGGGTCTGCCCCGGCTGGGCACTGCAGTGGGTGCTCACCCCTGCAAGGATGTGGGGAGATGCTGGCACAACAGTCACTTCAATAGACCTGGAGCTGTGGATGTCCGGGTGCCCCAGCGAGGCCTGGGGACAGAAGCAGTCAGGGACAGCAAACATCAGCAACCCTGTCTGCAGCAATTCAGCTGGAGAGAGCGAGGCACTGATTTATTCATGGGATAAACCCCGCACCACCGCCACGGCCACACTGCCCTGATGGCGTGCTGCGACACGGGTGTTACCGAGAGCTGCGTCAGTCCGGTGACCAAGACCAGACACCCCCCGGGTGCCTACACCACGATCCCCAGCCATCGGCTTTGGGGCTTGCTCTGTACAGAGAAACCCAACGCAAGACCTAACCGGGAGTTGATACCACAGCAGCCCACAACATCCCGCATGACAAAGCGACCCTGGCAGAAGACCCGGGGCATCGTGGGGGGCGGCAGCAGGTGCTGAGGGCGGTGGGTCCCGGGTGGCCCCGGGACACTCCCTGTGAAGGTGACATGGATCAAGCAGAGACTGTGGTCCAGGGGGACCAGATGAGCCGCTGGAAGAGACCTGTGGAGAGGTACTAAAGACACATGCCCAGAGGTCTGCGTCAGGCTGCTGGGGGGCTACTGGGGACGATGGCTGAGGCACGTGCTCTTGACCCATTTACTCATTTGAGAGAACAAACTAATTAGTTAGCATTAATTAACAGGGCAGTTTTACAGAGGTACCTGAGCACGGACGTGGCTTAATTGGCCTTTCCCACTGCTTCGCTTCAAACCCCATAAATCCAGATTACGATTCCCATTGTTTAATGACTGTCAGGAAATGCTAATTTAGCGGCAGGCACCACGGCTGCGTCTCCCTATCACAAACAAGTTTCACCATAAAGCAGCGCGGGACAGCTTTATAAGTGATTCACTATTACAATGTATTGGTGGGGGATCATAAAACTGTTGTTCCATTAATGGCTCATCTTCAGGCTTGTTAGACTTTCATTACGTGAGCTATTAGGTCCATGTATTCAAAAAATGAAATTACAGGTTCTAATCCATGATGAAAAACACAAAATCTCTGCATAGTAAATTACTGAAATGAGACAAGAGTTGTTTTTTTTTTTTTTAAATGGACTCCCAGCATTTGCTGCTCCTGAACAACAGAGAGTGCTGAGACAACAAAACACAACCCAAATAGATAAATAAATCCCCAGTGAAACCATGCAGGGGGGAGAAATGTCATCCAGGCATTCATCTTTACGTTAACGGCGGGATCCCCTGAGCTGCAAGAGCGGGGAAACGCATTGCAAACTTAATTACAGTTGACTTCAAAATGATATTTTTGGACTTCTGCATTCACAGAGTTATTTGCATACAAATAGCATGTCACATAGTTTTAAGCCCAAGGCTCGTGTCTTTGGGTGTGAAGGCTCTCGGTAGCTGGCTTGCGGCGCTGCACGGCCAGGGCTCAGGCGGGAGCTGCTCCTGCCACCTCGGGG